CCCCAAAACCCCAAAACCCCAAAACCCCAAAACCCCAAGATCACATCCTCTGATTGAACTTAAAATATGAATATTGCTTGAAACCTTAATCTGCTGCATTATCTTCTCTCTCCAGGTCTTCAAGCTCCTCATCAAGATCGTCATCAACGACTTCTCTCTCAGCCTCGTCATTTTCATCGCTTGAGAAACTATCCAGCCTTCTATTAGCTTCCTTAACGTCAACATGTGCTGCTTCAATGACGAAGTCATGCTCACTGCTAAGAGGAGAATCAAGCTCTTGCTGAATCTCCTCTTCATACTCTGGCAAATACAACTTCGGCTTTCTCTTTGGGCATTTTATCCTACAGAACCGAGGAAGTGAGAGGATGTAAATTATGTAGGACACTACCACCCACACTGCAATGTCAATCACGGTGATCCTTGCATACATGTAGAACTCCCAGTCTGTTAAATGAGGGTCAAAGTAGTTGAACATCATTGATGTGATCAATAATTCATTCATCTCATTATAAATCATATGTATATTAGTCAGCCTGTGCGTGAAAGGCCGGACATAGGCCAAGTACATTAGGGGTAAGAAAATTACAAATACAGCAATTATGTTGAAAGGAACCAGCCCCCAGTCGTGTGCAAAAGCAAAAGTAAATGCAAATATAGTTTTCTTCATTAGATAAATGATGTAGTAAATATACTTTGATACATGTGAAGTATCAATATCTCTAAGCAATCCTTTCAAGTACCAAAGTTCCTTTGCTAATGGACTTAGAGTCTTATAATACAACAATAAAATAGCTATTAAGATGTAAACACCCAACAAAATAGCGAATAGTATCTGTGCTATAATAGTCCCAGCAGTGTAAATTTTGGGCGAGAAGTCTGGGTGAATCATGTTGAGAAGACATCAAGTCATCACATGTTGATAAATAAGAATGAATCCTTTGACTACAATCTCCCATCTGAATCTATTCTCATAGGCAATGATAGTTACATTTCCCCATCAAAGGATTCTGAAGAGGAAGACTAGTACTCAAGCAACCAGTGCTACTGCGTAGATAAACAAGAGCTCGATTGCATTATACAGCATATTATATCTGATAAATCCTTGTCTCTCGAATCGATAATTTGTAGTTCCGTCTTTGACGAGGTCTGCTTCTTCAGTTCCAAGTAAGAACTTTCGAATGTCAAACCACTCCATCTTGCCTATCGTGACTTGGAAATCTTTAAAGAATCTTGACAAGCAAGAAGGAGGATAACTGTGCATCATTGGGTAATATATAATCATCTGTAAAGACATTGTAATCCCAATGGTATGCCACAAACTTGCTCCGAGGATGAAGAACGTAAAGTTGTTGATAACAAGGGAGATGTAGAGCCAATAAGCCACTTTCCACCAGCCTTCCATACCTCATGTCCTGTCGTTCTCTGTAGGATGTTTCAACTTTGCATTTGCATTTTTGTTAATCAGCACAAAGCCGTACGCATAGTGCAATACTTGTTTCCGGTCTACCACAGAGATAGTGACGTTTTCAACACCGTCTCCTAAGAATTGAATATGAGGGCTAAAAGCTATATCTAACTCCCATTGAGAAGCCGAGTTTGGAGTCATCAAGTGAGTACTCTTGTTTACAAGAGAATAATGTGATGTGAGGTAGTAGTTTTCTTCTGTTCTTGGCCCATGGACTTCAACTATAAGATCTGCAGTATCTACCCATGTAATGGGCAAAGATACCGATACATTGAAGGTAATTGTGACAACTGAATCATTATTGATTGTCGCACCAGTGATAGCAGGATTATTATGCCAATGCCAACATTCATCATGCCAATCCCTAGTTCCATATTGGCAATCCCATCCGGGTTCGATATTTCAATTAGCATCTCAGCCATCTCCTGGAATGGTATTACCATCATCACATTCATAGTTAAATAAATCAATACCATCTCCTCAAATTTCTGTTCAAGTATCTTCGTTTGCTGCTGTACCTCCTACTCAGGTGTATCCAAGTTCAATAACTCAGGAGTCATCACATCCATCTCCGTTAACCAGGTTTCCATCATCACAATCGTAGTGCCCGATATCAAGACCATCTCCTCAAATTTCGTAACAGTAATCTGCTCTCCAGTAGTTGCCACCAGCTCATGAGTAGCCTGCTTCAACTACTCAATTGGCTGTGCAGCCATCTCCGTTTGCATTATTTCCGTCATCACATGCTTCAGGACAGACTCTTCTTCCATCTCCACAAGTGGGCCAGCAAACATCAGGTCGATCTGGCCTTCCAATGTTGCACTGGTATCCTGGTTCAATTCTTCCATATTGATCGCAGCCATCACAGACATCGAATTGGCCATGATCACAGCCGTACCATCCAAAGTCGTGGCCGTCATTAAGGATTTCGAAGCACTGGTCTGGGGTCTCTGAACCTCCACCACTACATTTGAATCCGAAGTAGACTTCACAGTTAGGGTCTCAGCCATCTTCGTATAAATTATTCCCGTCGTCACAGGCGTAGTTGCCCATTTGTTTGCCATCACCTCAGATCTCAGTGCAGACGGAGGGGCTCCCTCCGTCGCACGTATATCCAGGGGTGATCTGTCAATAGGGGTCACATCCATCATAGGGAAGATTATTCCCATCGTCTCAGGCTTCGCCAGCTTGAAGCACTCCATTCCCTCAACTGTATGTGTTGGTTCAAACTGAAGGAGCTCCAACTCATGTGTATCCAGTATCAATCTGACAATTAGTGCATCCGTCGCTAATTATAGCATTGTTATCGTCACAGGCCTCTCCTGCGTCAATAGCTCCATTGCCACATTGGCACCTAACCAGAGTGGCTAGTCACAGAAGAATCACAGTTATAAAAACTGAAGGGTATTTGGACGGTGAGGCTGAAGAGCGCCTGCCCAATCTTTTTCTTGAGACAACAGCTCTTGAACTACATGTAGAGGAATTCTGTGGTCCTAATTTAGGAATTTTTTGTATAAACATGAGTCTTAGTTTCCTATAGAGATTAGTAAGTTACTTGTAGTTTCATGAGTTATAAATGTTGGCTACTCACCTTGCCATTTCAAGTTATTAACAAAATTATAATAATTTAACAAAGATTTTCAAGAATATTATGCTGAATTGGGGTTTTGGGGTTTTGGGGTTTTGGGGTTTTGGGG